TTAGAAAAACCCAGAAGATTCAATGAATTATAACGGAAAAGGTATAATTAAAAATGTATAATTTCTTAGCTAATACTTTATTTAAAATGAATAGATTCGAAGAAGCTTTGGAAAATTTTGATACAGCTATTTCTAATAACCCAGAAAACTCTAACTTTTTTCACAACAAAGGTTAAATTAAAAATTCTATAACTTCTTAGCCGTTACTTTATATAAAATGGATAGATTCGAAGAAGCTTTGTTAAATTATGATTTGGCAATTTAAAAATACCCAGAAAATTCAAGACATTATAATGGAAAAGGTATAATTTAATAGGTATGATATTTTAGCTGTTACTTTATAAAAAATGGATAGATTCAAAGAAGCTTTATAAAATTATGATTTAGCAATCTCAAACAATCCAGAAGACTCCATTTTTGTCCATAACAAAGGTGTAATTGAATAGCATAATTTATTAGCCGTTGCTTTATTTGAATTGAATAGATTCGAAGAAGCTTTGGAAAATTTTGATTCAGCAACTTAGAAAAGCCCAGAAGATTATAACTTTGTCCACAACAAAGGTTATATTAAAATTCTATAATTTCTTAGCCATTACTTTATATAAAATGAATAGATTGAACGAAGCTTTGGAAAGTTTTGATTCAGCAATTTAAAAGAACCCAGAAGATTCAATGAATTATAACGGAAAAGGTATAATTAAATAAGTATAATTTTTAAGCTCATACTTTATATAAACTGAATAGATTCGATGAGGCTTTGGAAAATTATGATTCAGCAATTTAATCAAATCCAAAAATTTCTGAGTTTTACTACAACAAAGGTAAAAAAAGATTAATATACATTAGCTAATACGTTAAAAAGTATGAATAGGTTATAAGAAGCTTTGGAAAATTTTGATTCAGCTATTTAGATATAACCAGACGATTCAAGATATTATAATGCCAAGGGTATAATTTAAATATGTGTAATTTATAAGCGGATACATTATATATTATGAATCGATTAGTTGAAGCATTGGAAAATTTTGATTAAGCAATTTAGAAAAACCCAATGCTTTGTTATCATTACAGCAATAAAAGTATAACGAAAAATGTATAATTTCTAAGCTGAAGTTTTATTCACAATGCGAAGAATTGAAGAAGCTATGATATATTGTAATTCAGCAATACATGGTAAAATGTATTTTACATATTTTTCAAGCAAAAAATTTACACTCAACTATATTGAATAATAGTATCCACTAAAAGGATACAAATGAGGAAGCTTTGGAATATCACGATTTTGAGATTCAAAAAAATCCAGAAAATTCTAAGTATTATTATAACAAAGGTATAATTACATCTAATGTTGTAGCCAACACATTAGTCAAAATGAATCGATTAGAGGAAGCGTTAGAATATTATGATTTAGCCATCTTGAAAAACCCAGGAGGTTCTAGGTATCACAATAGTAAAGGTAACGCTAAATATTTTTTAATTTCTTAGGTGATACCTTAGATAAATTGAATAGATTTGAGGAAGCATTAAGATATTATGATTCAGCTATAAATATTAACTCTAATTATTCGCTCTATTACTTTAACAAAGGTATTATAAAATGTTTAAATATTTTTTAGCTATTACTTTAATAAAATTGAATAGATTTGAAGAAGCATTGAAATTTCATGATGTAGCAATTTAAAAAGATCCTGAATATTCAAGTTATTACAATAGTAAAGGTATTTTCTTTATAATTTCTAAGCTCTTACCTTAATCAAATTGAATAGATTTAAAGAAGCATCAGAATGCTATGATTTGTGGAAATAACTAATGACACATAAAGCCATTAATTGAATTAATTCAACACATTAAAAATAAATAAAACTCAATGAAACATCGCACCTCATAAGAATTACAATATATGATAGCTATTATTGATTCTATGTTTATTATTGAATTCTTTGATAAATTTTAGGTGTTGATGTTATACTATGTAGGAAGAAGTAGTTTAGAGAATTATTTTTATAAATTTAACAAATTGTTATTAACTATTAATTATTGATATATTTTTATAAATTTTGTGTACGTTTTTATTATATCTTTGATTTCAATTTTATTGCTCTTTTTCTTAATTATCGATCCCATATCACCTCTGTAGCAGTTCCTAATAATATGATGGAAAAATATTTTAATCTCTTTTATAGGATTCAGAATAATTTGAAACAGTGAAAATTTCTAGATCTCATTCTATTCTTTAAATTATTTATGAAATGATTTTCCTACTCCATTTACACCATAATAAATAGTCTTTCTACTTCAATTTTGACCTAATTAATATTCGCAAATTATTTACTTTTTGAAGTTATTGTGCTAAGAATTACCCTCTCAAGGAATTAATATTACTATAAGTTTAGCTAAATTAATCATTAGATGGTGTACCTTTAGAACCCCAAGTTTCGCTAAATGATTTGAGAGTAAAATTCCTTAAAATTATAAATAGATCCTATACTATTTAAGATAAGACAAAAATTTAATACATGATTTCTTGTTCTTTAAATAACTATCATTAAATTAAGGTTTCATATATTACATGTGCATATTGGAGAAATTAATAATATATCGTAGTTGTGCTGTTGATTGCCTTTTTCTTGTCCTTAATCTAATGTACCATTCGTTAGAAAGGTTTAAATAAAATCTTTGAATACCAAACACTTTTCAATAGCCGATTCTATTTATGACTAGTAATACCAATTTCTAACTAAATTTCTTTGATTGTCTACCAATATTAGAAAATCAAAATAATGGGTAAATATTTCTGCAAATTTTCATAGTTGTGCCTTTATCATAAATCTGTTAATAAGATAATTATTACTTATTATATTGATATATATACTTCTTATTCTTATTTTTAAAATTGAGCTTTGAAAAATAAAGTCCAAATTATGATCAAAATAATGGGAATTTTAGAAATGAGCATATTTTGGTCCATCCTTTACTTGCAGAACATCAGAACTTGCATCAATGCTTTAAAAGTTAAATTATTAATATTAAATCCTAATAGAATAATTCTACTAATATATAACTTTATAGTTGATGATTGATAGAAAGAAACACTACTATACACATAATATCATGCATTAAAATAGTATAATACAAATACCAAGAGAGTATTCAACGAATGTTTTTGATTTATTCAAGTTTGAATTTTTTAAAGTAAACTTACTTTTTATTATTGAAAATTATAATAATTCTTTATTTATTAATTAAATTTCATATTTATTTTATATATTCTACATAAGGCTGCTCTTTTTCTCAAATCTTGAACTTAATTTTTCTCTATACAAAAGAAGCAATTAAGTAAATTGAAGAAATAATCATATAATTATAAAATTCTTAAAATTTTTATAATCAGAGTAGATATTGGTCCTTTTCAAAATTATCATCAATTCATTAATGGAATTTATATTCCAAACTTTAATTTCATTACATAATTATTGTTCTGACTTTCTATTTATACTTATTTCTTAAAATTTCTAAAAATAAAAATTATTGGAATTTCAGAAATATTTAGGCGAGACATGAGATCTTATTATTATGATATGTTTAACATATTTCAGATTAAGGTTTTTCTCATAATGATTAAGCTAGTTTTGGATGCTGCGATAATTTATTAAATGTACATTTTAGTAGATGTAGTTTGAGAATGAGGATTCTAGAAAGAGAAAAATATTAGTATTAATTATTTATGAGTCATTAATTATCAAGGATATTTTTAATATATAGAATGAAGTAAATAATATCTTTCCCTTTTTTGATAGTCATGAGTGTTTATGTTTGAGGATAATGGTGCTGGAGCATTTCAATTTTACCACCATATTACCCATATGAAGTACTTAACATCCCGGGAGAGTATTATCAGGATGGATAATGTGCTTGTTTTGGAGTTTGGAGTAAATGTCTTCCTTTGAGTGATATTGTATAAGCCGGAGAATTTGGGATACTTGATAGTAGTTGCTATCATTTATTCGAATTTGAGAGCATGTCGCGGAGATTTACTTTTTTTATATTTTGCGTGCCTAATTTTTGAGGGCAAGGTAGTTAAGAGATACTTTTGATTTTTAGATAGTGATAATAGAGTAGCAACTGAGTGCGTTTGGGTGAGTTTGCTTTTATATGCAGCTGCCTGGCATTTTGCTGGATTATTGG